GCGGCCGTCCGAGCAAAACCGATTTATCTTGCATTCGTCGGACCAAATAACGCGCTTCCAGTCCTCAAGCGTCCAGTCTACGTGCGCCCTGGCAAACTCCAGCCTGTCCCTAATGTTCTGCTTGGACAGTCGCGGTTTCTTCGGTTGCGATACTGCGACTAGACCAGCTTCACGAAGAGAATTCCTAACTGTCTTGGGGCATACGTTAACATCGTGTGCTGTTCCTAGCATTTTCGCCGCGTCAACGCTCGTTTTCGCCGCGCCACTAGTAATAGCTCGAATAACGGTGCGCTGGAGTCGGGGTGATATAACACGTGGCCTTCCACCTGGCGGCATTGTGGGTCGCACCTCTTCGCGGCTAGTCTCACCGATGACTTTGAGACCGTAGTCATGGACGGTGCTTTTACCTACACCTAAATCTTTCGCTATTTTCCGCACGCTAACCCCCTTGCGCAGAAGCTCGATAATACGTGCTCGTCGCTTCTCATCGACCGGCTTCATGGCGTCTGGACCGTGTGCGGACTACGGGGCTACGGAGCGGCGGCGAGAAGTTCGCTAGATCGAGACCTAATTTAAGACCGGTGGCGAATGTAGATGTCGAACGTCGATCGGAAAAAACTGTCCGGAAGCAGTCCATCTTGCAAAGCCTTATCATACGTTAGACCTCTTCGTTATTACAAACCTCAACTCGGTGGGTTCATGAATATACGCACTGTTATACACACAAGGAAATTTGTGGAAACTTATTGTTACCATAACAGGCAAAAATTGACCGGCAATAGCCTAAACCCATTTATCCGGACAGTTTTTTCCCTCAGTGTATATAGTGCAAGACATCCTTAGCGACATCATGCATCGTCATATGAACTTCAAAACTCAGTCTTACCTGTGAGCGATGCAATGGGTCAACACGAGATGCTCGATCTGCGCTCACAGGCGGGCAACCACGCCAGCTCGCTCTCCCGTAATCACGGACACGCCGTCAGTCGAGATGCCCGCTATCTTCTGCAGGTCGAGGCCCATGCCTTGAATGTAGTGCAACAGGGTTGTCGTCAGCGAGGCGGCATCGGTGCGGTCCACGCTGATAAGATTCACGAACTCGGTGACAAAGGCCGTTCCTTTGAAGAAGGTGGCATAGAGGATTACAGTGACGGAAACAACTGTCCGGATGTTTAGCATGTTTTATCATTTTTATGAACTGTACTCAGTAAACATTACGCCTTAATCTATGGTGGGCATACACGTCGAGAAGAGCAGTTAGAGCCCTCATTCAAGCCTCCTAAAACCAGAGTAGTGTAGTACAAGTTCCCTAAACACTGCGGTATCTAATAAGAGCACATCCGGACAATTTGTTCCGAGGACAGGTGGCAAACTAGAAACCGTCAAAACTAGTACCTAGTCCAGCGTCCCTTTGCGTGAATCACCACTCTGATCCTCCTTGGCATACTGTCGAAGAGGTTTGAGCACACTTCCGTCGGAATCTTGTCCCATTTCTCTTGCACCCTCTCCCACAGCTCCAACATTCCTGTGGGTGGCTTTTCGTACTTTGCCAGCTCCCTTTTCAAGTGGGCCCACAGGTGCTCTATCGAGTTAAGGTCCGGGGAGGATGAGGGCCATTCCAACACCGTATACTCCTGCTCCCCAAGCCAGTCTTGCACCAGACGTGACTTGTGCTTGGGATCATTGTCGTACTGGAATATGACCTCTGAGGGGGGGAGGTTGTAAAACTCGATCGTCTGAGAGAGTTTGTATTGCAATATGTTGCGATACAGCGGCCCATCCATCCTTCCATCGATCTTGCACATGAACCCCACCCCCTCATACGTCATGCAACCCCACACCATCACAGAGCCGCCCCCATGCTTAACTGTCTGCTGGCTTTGGTGGCTCTGGAGGTTGCTGACCTCGCGAATTCAGGCGTACGCACGTCCGTCGGAGCATAAATGATTAATCTTCGTCTCATCGGACCATATGATGCGCTTCCAGTCTTCCATCGTCCAGTCGGCGTGTGACTTCGCGGAATCCAGCCGATCTCTTATGTTTTTCACAGAGAGCCTGGGCTTCTTGGGCTGCTGCACCACGACCAGCCCAGGGGATCATAACGAGTTCCTAATGGTCCTCGAGTCTACAACCAGACCGTGCTTCTCCTCTAACATTTTCGCGGCGTCTACAATGGTTTTCGCCTCCCCGCTGGTAATCGCACGCACTATTCCGTGCTGGAGGTGAGTTGTGATTAAGCGTGGGAGACTGGCCGTGGGCATCGTGGGTCGCACCTCATCGTGACTAGTCTCGGCAATCACCTTTCGCCCGTAATCATGCACGGTACTTTTGTCTATGCCAAGCTCCTTGGCTATCTTCCTAGTCGACTGCCCCTTGTGCAACATGCTTAATATATGCACGTGCTTCTTCTCATCTACCGGCTTCATCGTGCTTCCGTCGTAGGTTCACTTCTGGCCTAACTCCTATACTAACGGCTGTTGCGTGAAACAGTGTGTACTCTAAGTGGCGAGCGAAATTAGGTATAGACAGTCGCTCGGTATGAACTGTCCGGATCGATTGTCGATGAGTAAATCTCATCCTCGCTAATTGGATGAGTGACAATCGCACCAAGCTATTTACGGTGGAAACACAACACTACGACCTTGTAACAGGCTAAAAAAATTGGTATTACTATATTCGAAATATGTGTGGCATAGCGATAAGTTACATAGTGTGAAATACCCGGGCATTTTTTTCCGCCCTGTAGGTGCTTGCCGTGGATTTGATCCGTGCTCTCGTTAATGGATTAGGGTGAGTCGTGGATGTGCTTCAGTTGTTGCTCTTGGAGATGAGAGGAGATGGCCCAGATGCTCTCTTTCAAGCCGTACCTGCAAAAAGGGGGGAGGGGGGAGGGATACATAATGGTTAAGAACCCAAGTCCAATCTCAAACAACATCCGTCAAGCATCGAGGTACCAAGCATCAAAATGCAATAGTGGTGATTGTTCAAAACACTTACTCGCTGTACTAGGAGCCATAGCCCCCATTGGGCGGCAGATCAGGAAGCCCCTCTTTGGGCATGAACCAGCAGAGGGGGACGAACATTGCAATCAATGCGTCCTTCTTACAGAGAAACATCGTGATGTGCAGGCACCAGATGAGATGGCTTACAACCAAACATCGTGATCGGTGCACTGCCAGCGCGTAAGACTAACTTGACGCGCTCGTTCCTTCTTGGGGTCCTCCTCCGCCTTAAGCGCCGCATTGTGCACGCGGGTGCCGAGGTGCGAGCGGATGCTACCAAGCAACAGGTCGTGCCCGCCCTCTCCCTTCACGCCGTAGCTCGTGTTGGCGGCGGGGTCAGCATGCTTCAGGCAGACGCTGCATTTCAGCGCGGGGCGACCGTTCCGCATACGGTTCAGACGAAGCCACGGAAACAGCTTCGACCAGTCAGTGTCGAAGCGGTGCTTAACGGCCGCATACTCAGTTTTTGCAGTGGAAGTTGGAATGGGGAGGACAGAGGAGGTGTCGTCGGAATGAGGAGGCCTAGCGGGCGGCGGGCTAGGAGGCTTGCGCGGGGGAGGAGCCCCCCAGAGCCTATGCTGCATCCATGTGCAACGCCTCTTGCGAATCAGAGGATCGGAGGGTCGGGAAGGCACCTCGGAAATGGGGGGATGAGATCATACCTCCCCTCCATCAGAGGTGGCATGCCTTGTCCTAGTGGGCGAGGTCTGAGGAGATGCACTATGAGGCGGCTGATTGGAGCGCTCGCTGCGAGGACAGCTGTCGGCGGTAGGACTAACGTGGCGCGGGATACGAGGGGCCACGGTTGGCAGGGCGAGTGGAAAGACGCCCAGCACGCTGAGACCATTACGGTGGCGCTCAGGTGCGTCATCGCTCTCCTCGTCGTCTTGAGAGAGGTTCATAAGGAGCCTACGTAAAGCAGTAAGAAGCGTGGAAGGGAATGACTACTAGAGCTAAAATTGCTATGTATTTCTCTATGGTGAATGCCTGCAAAGGGACAGTTGAGAGGGAAGGAAGGTGCCCTCGTGAGTTTCCTGCAAGGGACGAAACCCTTCAACCCATGCTGCTCCTCGCGCACCTCGGCTTGCAGTCTTGGCGTCGTGTAGCTGCATGTGACTGACTGCCAGCGTGCTGCTCGACACTGTGGTTTGCGCAGCAGCTTTACTGCCAACGCGTCGAAATCCGCCACGTTGGCAGCTATGCTGCCACATAATGCCCTGCTGTCGCAAATGCGTGACAACTGTTTGGGGCCACTTGGGCAGGTCCACTGTTGGTGGGCGTGGCTGACTCGGGTGAAATATCGCGCGTGGCAGATTCGCCAGTTGGCGAATCTGAAGGGCTTGACGGTTTCTGTTCCAGGGTGTGTTCGGCAGCACCCTTTCTGGTCAGGGTAATCAAGCGAACTCCCTGTCTACAGCAGGGTGAAAAATCCCTTGCGCTATTTCATGAAGGGTGGCAAAAAAAAACCCTTCCAAAATCAGGGTGATGACCAACAAACGGCCGTTGGACAGGGTAATCAGGGTGGAATACCCTTGAATCACTGGCCATGGACTGAACTAGCCAACCATCAACAAGTAGTGCCAGTTTTCAGAGTGAATATCTCGAAGCAGAAATAAATGTGTAAAATTCCGTTAGTGTGCCTCATCTACACTACAACACCCACAATCAACTGGGCCACTTTTGGCGGTTGCACCGCCGAGTCGCACACACGGTCAGCCAAACCAGCGAGTCGCACAAATGTCTCCGCGTGAAGCTGGTGGGAGGGACATTGGGAGGAAGCTGGGTTTCAGGGAAGCAAGCGCCTCCGCCGCTCATCCGTCCGATCATCACCGCCACCGTTGATTGTCACCGCTCTCCCCCAAACAAACGCGGTTTTCCAACCAATCCGCGCACCCGTCATCAGGCAACATCACTCCCTCCCTCCCACCACTCTAGTTGGATGGTTGGGCATTTGCGCCTACAGTATATATTACAACCAGGACCATAACCAGAATTCACAGGCGAACGCAAACCAGCAAAATCCATCTATTAGCTTTCGGCCACTTCATCTCGCGCATCACATCCGCCTCTCAGTATCTCACCCGCTGCCTTCGCTTAGACTGACCTACAATAATACCTCCTAGTACCAGCGGCGAATATTCCCGACGGCCCTTGTTTTTCACTACCATGGCGCGTTCTACCCTAACTTTCTCAGTCATGGCATTCGTCATCGCAGTCCTTTTAATGTCATGCGCCGAGTCTAGAATCCTCTCCAACGGACTGCTCGGAAATCGCGTCCCGATTCGACCGGCAAACGGAGCCCTCAAGCTCAACATCTCATTCAGCCTCAACAATAGCGTCACTGACCTAAAATCCGCGTTACAAGCGCAGGTCGTTTCGCTAGAAGGAGCCCTGACGCAATCACTCGACAAGCTCGCAAATGCGTTGAAAGACAACACCTCGGCGGCGGTCTCCACGTTCCGAGCGCAAATCTCCGCCCTCTAAAGCAGCATCGCCACGTTAAAGGAACGCATTGCAAGCCTCGACCTCATCACATCCATTACAATCACACCTTCCGGCATTTCCCAGATCACATCGGCGGCTCTTCCCACCCTCCAGTCGCGTATCTCGTCGCTCAGAGCCAGCATCCCCGCTATGAACAAACGCTCGACATCGCTCAACACCGACCTGGCGGGCCTCCTCTCCAGCCTTCGCGCGTTGCTGAGTCAGAGAATCGCGGCGCTGACTCAGAGGGTTGGTGCACTGAATCTGGACGTGTCGGCGCTCGCTGCTCAAATCGACGCGCTCGTCGCCCCGCTGAGTGGCGCCCTTGGCGTGACGGACCTCGTGGCCCTGCTGCCGCAGCAGTCAGGTCAGTGCCACAAACCCGAAACCCGCAGCCACTGAGCAAACCCTAGAGTAGGCCCTGTAGTTGAGTTTCTGTGCCTGATTCGTACAGATACAGATATTTCCCTTTGGATTGCTTGCGCTCATTCTCGCACCTTGCTCATACACTTCCCTCTGCCGCTTCCCTCGACAATCCCCATCACTGCAGGCATGCTCCGTGGCGTTATGACCTCGTGCGAGGGACTTGTGCAGGCAGGGGCAGCCAACATCCAGATCACCAAAATGTAAATCACTTCTCCATTGCCTTCTTTGTGGGGAAGACCCCTCCGCTCTGGATCATGCGAAGATGCTGTCAACCACATAATTTTGCTTCTTACGAACTTCAGTACTTAGCTGATGACCTCGTCTAGCTTCATGAACTTGTAACGTAAGTGTGTGACTCCCCCCTTTCTGTACAACCATCCGTCTCTCCCCAGTGGCTCGTCCTACACCGTCACCTACTACCTCTTCGCCACGGGCATCACAGAGGCACCTCAGGCGCAGGCCATCTACCGCGGCACCCCCTGCAGCAGCAGCGGGGCCGGCCAGCCACCCGCAGTGGCGTTGCAGCTGACTGGCACATGGCAGCTCGTGAGCTCTGTCTCGTGGTCGCTGGCGAATGTGGTGGCTGTAGCAGAGGCGGATGTAGGGGACCTGCTCAGCGCTATTGGGACTGTGACTAATGGGGATCTTTATATTGGGTACAGGGGCAGCAGCAGCAGCTTGTCAGGAAAGCTCATCGGTGGGAAATTCTGAGGGAAATGGACATGTGGTACAGGTGAAAAGGGTGATTGCAGAAGGGACATCACACATGCACTCCTGAGTGCTTGTGATGCAGCATTATGTGCATCTGTGATGTTTCGTCTTCCGTGGTAGTATCATAGCAAGGCTGTGTCTTGTGCAATCCTTGTATGGTTCATTGCATCCAATTCAGCCATGACCTTTCTTCAGCACAGCACAATCAGAAGAAATTCTAGAGTTGCAAGTCATCCAACCAAGAGGTTCGATTCCCAGTGGTGATGGTAGTACCAGTACCTCCAACATTGCATCCTTTTTGTCGTTCTCTGCCCTGAAGACAGGAGAAGAAGCTGTTCTGCTGCCCTCACCATGTTCGGTTGTGCCTCCATCACTCTCCTGCAGCTGCCTACTGTTCGACAATAGTTTGTGCCTTGTGTTCTTGGCCTTACGGCCAGGCCCTGAGATCCTACTTATGGCCATCCCTGTGTCCGGACTTCAGACGTTATGCGGATGCACTATGCCATACCACTTTGTTATGGCCCGCATCAAGACAATGGGCGTCCGCAATAGACGAGGGGTTTGGGAACCGGGTAGCGGAAGCAAAGGGTGAAGGCGGGAAAGTGATGAATGGGTCAGGGTGAACCAGCACTCTGCATCGCGCCAACGCACCGATAGGTTGAAGCATGGTATAGCGAGAGTGCGTCATGTCATGACAAGGCTCCGATCCGATCCGATCACCCGTGAATTCAATAAGCTGAGAACTTGACCTCACCCGTCCTGCAGCCAGTGTGCTTCTCGTGTAATTAGGAATATATACAAGAGAGCAGCCACAGTATGGAAGGGCGATTCAATTTCGAAGCAGCATGCATTCGTAATTGCCTCTTGTGCAGCCTGCAGAAGCAGCAGCAGCAGCAGCAGCAGCAGCAGCAGCAGCAGCAGCAGCAGCAGCAGCAGCAGCAGCAGCAGCAGCAGCAGCAGCAGCAGCAGCAGCAGCAGCAGCAGCAGCAGTGCCTCTCTTGAATCTGCAAGTCCCCTTGTTTCGAAAGAGTACAGATCTGCACGGACTTCGTCATTCGTTCTCGAAGCAGAGTGCCTTATTTAGCACCTCTTGCGCAGCCTGCAGCAGCTGTGCTTCAGGTGAATCTGGCAGCACTCCGCCTGGAGCTGGCTCTAATGAGATCGCTGCAGTGATGGAGGCAATGGGCAGCAGGGCACTCGATACAGCAGCAGCCAGCCCCTCAGCAGTAGGGTCACATGCGGTGTTAGCACCACCACTGCTGCGCCTCTGGTCTAGCGACCCAGCAGCTCTTTCTGGTGTTACTGGAGCCTGTTCTGCTCCAGCAGCTGCATCCGCTGCTGCTGCTGCTGCTGCTGCTGCTGCTGCCGCTGCTGCTGAGGATTCCTCTACACTGTTGCTGCCCAGCAAGTCCGACATTTCGAAACCACTACTGCCCTCAGCACCGGAAGCAAGGTCCTCAGAAGACTCATCAGCTTGGGGAGTGGTGACAGGGGCTTCGGGTGCAGCGGCGTGCAGAGCGGTGCAGTGCAGTATGCGGGAGGAGAGCTCAATGGCTGCATGGCGCCACCAGAGGGCTCTCTCTTCTGCCTGCTGCACCTGAAGGGGGCAGAGAGTAGGAGAGAGGGAGGGGGCGGGAAACAAACGCTCAAAACCACCACCAAGAGTTGCCACTAGCCGCAGTCAGCACAACGGCTGCCTGGCGCCACCACAGGGCAGAGCAGACAGGAGCGAGGGAAGGGAGAGGATGGAGGCTACGTGGCAGCTTATAGGCCACCAGAAGGCCCAATCCTCCACCTTCTGAACCTCATGAGGCCACGGGGAGAGGCAGGGGGGGGGCGACAGTGAAGGCAACAGGAAGGGGGTTGGGGAGGGGAGAGAGCAGTCAAAAGCACCAGCAGTTGGCCCAAGGGCTGCGTGGTGCCACCAGAGGGCTCGTTCCTCTGCGTGCAGCACCTGATGAGGGCAGGGGACGGCAGGGGGGAGGCAGGGGAGGGCAGGCCGTGAAGGCAACAGGACGGGGGAAGGGGACCACAGAGAGCACTCGAAATCACCACCAGTCGGCCCCATGGTTGCATGGCGCCACCAGAGGGGGAAGAGTGGGGAGAGGGGGGAGTGGGAGCTTGCAGCACCTAATGGTGGCAGGGGGGGGGAGTAAGGGGGGGGAAGGGGATGAGGAAGGGGAAAGGGAGGGGGGAGGAAGCGGGGAGAGCGCTCAGAATCACCACCAGGCAGCTCCAAGGCTGAATTGTGCCACCAGGGTATCTCTCCTCCGCCTGCTGCACCTGATGGGGGAAGGAAAGGGAGGGCAGGGAAATGGGAACGGGAGGGAGGGGGAAAGCGGAGGGAGGAGAGCGGAGAGAGTAATCAGAACCACCAGCAGGCAGTTCCATGGCGGCATGGGACCACCAGCAGGCAGTTCCATGGCGGCATGGGACCACCAGCAGGCAGTTCCATGGCGGCATGGGACCAGCAGGCAGTTCCATGGCGGCATGGGACCACCAGGCAGTTCCATGGCGGCATGGGACCAGCAGGCAGTTCCACGGCGGCATGGGACCACCAGCAGGCAGTTCCATGGCGGCATGGGACCAGCAGGCAGTTCCATGGCGGCATGGGACCAGCAGGCAGTTCCATGGCGGCATGGGACCAGCAGGCAGTTCCATGGCGGCATGGGACCACCAGCAGGCAGTTCCATGGCGGCATGGGACCACCAGCAGGCAGTTCCATGGCGGCATGGGACCACCAGCAGGCAGTTCCATGGCGGCATGGGACCACCAGGCAGTTCCATGGCGGCATGGGACCACCAGGCAGTTCCATGGCGGCATGGGACCACCAGGCAGTTCCATGGCGGCATGGGACCACCAGGCAGTTCCATGGCGGCATGGGACCACCAGGCAGTTCCATGGCGGCATGGGACCACCAGGCAGTTCCGTGGCGGCATGGGACCAGCAGGCAGTTCCATGGCGGCATGGGACCACCAGGCAGTTCCATGGCGGCATGGGACCAGCAGGCAGTTCCATGGCGGCATGGGACCACCAGCAGGCAGTTCCATGGCGGCATGGGACCACCAGGCAGTTCCATGGTGGCATGGGACCAGCAGGCAGTTCCATGGCGGCATGGGGCCACCAGCAGGCAGTTCCATGGCGGCATGGGTCCAGCAGGCAGTTCCATGGCGGCATGGGACCACCAGCAGGCAGTTCCATGGCGGCATGGGACCACCAGCAGGCAGTTCCATGGCGGCATGGGACCACCAGCAGGCAGTTCCATGGCGGCATGGGACCACCACCAGGCAGTTCCATGGCGGCATGGGACCACCAGCAGGCAGTTCCATGGCGGCATGGGACCACCAGCAGGCAGTTCCATGGCGGCATGGGACCAGCAGGCAGTTCCATGGCGGCATGGGACCACCAGCAGGCAGTTCCATGGCGGCATGGGACCAGCAGGCAGATCCATGGCGGCATGGGACCACCACCAGGCAGTTCCATGGCGGCATGGGACCACCAGGGGGCTCTCTCCTCCGCCTGCTACACCTGATGGGAGCAGGCACGAGGGAGGTCGGGGAGTAAGAGGAGAGGGGCATGAGCACCTTCGAGTTTCAACTCCTCGTCTTCATCACCTCCTTCGGCTTCCCCCGATCCATTCACAAAAAATACATCTTTGGCAGCAGTGTATATAACCCTGCACATACTTGCTTATTTGCAGCAGTGTATGTAAAATAGCACGCACAAACCCTGTACTTGCCCATACCTGCTACTTGCCCATACCTGCTTCTCATAGTCCACCTCCATCATTTTCAACTCCTCCTCCTCATCCGCTTCTTCAGCATCTTCTCCAGAACTCCCTTCTCCCCCTTCTCCCCCTTCTCCCCCTTCCCCTCCGATATCTCCCTCGGATCCATCTTCTGGCCCAGTTTCACTGGGCTCCTCGTGTGCCCCATGCACCGCTGATGTTCCGAAACTCTCCACTCCCTCCCTCCTGCTTTCTGTTGTCTGCTTCCCGAAATCAGTTGTGGCAGGCGAGCTGCCTGAGGTTGCAGGGACAGCAGCAGCAGCAGCAGCAGCAGCAGCAGGACCAACACTGCTAGCAGAACCAGCAGCATGCACGCCGGGAAGACCACACCCGTGAATCCAAGTGCTTAGGGAGGTCGCAGCAGGGAAGTCAACAGACGGGGATGTACTGAGCAGGTACGGTTGGGGCTGTGACTGTGGCAGCACGGCAAGAGACTGCGGTTGTTGTCTGCTTTGTGCTGCTGTGCAGTCAATTGCCACTGCTGCCGCTGGGAACGGGGACACAGAGGCAGCAGGTACAGGTACAGGACCAGCAATAGCGGACAAAACAACACCCCCACCAGTGCTGCCACTGCCACCACTGCCACCACCGCCACCACTGCCACCACTGCTACTGTTACCACCCTCACTACTGCCACCACTGCTACTGTTACCACCCTCACTACTGTCACCAGCACGAACGGCACGAGAGGTGGCGGAATGAGGGGTGGGACCATGAGGTGTGGGGCCATAAGGGGTGGGGCCATGAGCCGCAGCGAGTGGAGGGGGGAAAGGGACAAGGGGCATGGTAGTGGGGGAGAGGGGAGTGGTGGGAGGGAAGCGGTGGTGGGGGGAAGGGGGGAGTAGGGAGGGGAGGGGCAGCGGAGTGATGGAAGGGGATGGGTTTGAAGGTTGGGGTTGAGAGATCGGGAGAAAGATTGAGGGGGGAGGAGCAGCAGCAGCAGGTGTGGCAGCTGCAGTTGCGGGTTTTGCGCTGCGAGCAGCGACTGCTGGCAGTGGATTGGTGGGAGGATGAGGAGAGGCAGTAGCAAGAGGGGGCGGTGCAGGAGCAGAAGCTGTAGAAGTTGGCGTGATAACGGCAGGAACAGGGGCAGGAGAGGCAGCAGCAGCAGCAGGGGAAGGTGTGGTAGCAGCGAGAGCAGGAGATGGTGCGACAGCTGCAGGTGCATTAGAAATTGGGGTGGCTGCAGGAGCAACAGCAACGGAGGAGGGGCCAGCAGCCAGGTTGAGGAGGGAGAGGAAGGAGGAGGGGCGAGTGAGGGAGGGGGGATGCAGGGGTTGGGCCGAGGGGTCTGAGGCGGAGACCACTGCTTCAAAGAGAGAGAAATCCTGCAGGCATGCAGTTCGGTGCATTGCGGTGACATGCGGTGCCATGCCATGCCATGGAGGGAAGGAATACAGGTGGG